ACATATCTCCGATTATATAAAATTTGTTTTGCTGTTGATAAATTGAGATTATTCTCAACTAAAACTATGTCATACGAAGAATATTACTATATGTTAAACAGATGAACATCTATTTTTAGACTTTATTGATTCAGTTCGAAGAAAACTGATCCCTGAGAGTAAAGCATGTTTTATTAACTGTGTATCTATGATAATCATCTCAATTTATAAAATATGAAATAAAAATGGCTTGTATGATATAAAATTTTTTCTACCAGACTCACAAATATAAAGTATTGAGTCAAATGTCGTTTGTAGAACTGATTCTTATAGTTCAAAATACCAAAATCATGGCCATGAATGCATGCGTATTCCAAGTTGTCGCAATTTCGTAAACAAAATGTATGAGTCTTTTAATCGTCCTGGTGGACCTCCCCAATATCGTAGCATTTCGTTCACAGTAATATGATGCTCAAAGAATACTTCATCTACTAAAGAATTAATGGATGAATCACTTAGAAGTTGATTCATTAGAGGAACCTCAATTGCTGGAGTATCAATATCTAGCTTGATAACAACATGGTCATGAGGTTTAGCTAGTGTTTTCAACATTACCCATGGATTAAACTTTCCACTTGTTGTACAACCAACATTAATTAGAGTATAAACAGGGAATACATCATCAGGTAACTGATCCCAAGCAGTTTTGGGATCTAATGGAGATTGCTCATAAGCAATAATACGATCAAATTTAACACCAAAACGCTTGTAATGTTCATAAAACCACCGTCCTGCAGCAGCACTAGCATCACCACCCCAATGTCCAAAATAAGAACTTCCTAAATCAATCAAAATATTCTGTCCATTTCTCGTGTCTATATCTGATTTCATGTCTAACAAATTTAACTTCGATCTTTGATACATCCAAGGAAGTAAATCTGTATTGTGTTTATTCGACTGAATATTATTTTGTAAAATGTCCTTATGATTTTGTGATGAAGAATGAATATAAAATGGAGCTGCTACTGATAATAAGAAAAATCGTTTTGACTGAAGTTCTGCTCCTTCATAATCAGAAGCAGGTAATGAATTAATACGATTACATATTGTTAAAGGATCTCGTAGTAAACCAATGAGTGGTTCAATGACTTGTGACACTTCTACTTCTTGGAACAATACTTTTGTTAATGGATTGATACATTCTTGTCGATAAAACATTTTTGATAGAAGCTCATCAGCGTGTTGTTTATCACTTTGAGTACGATTTCTTCCAAATTTTTGTAATTCCATCAATCGTTCAACGGCTAGAACCGTTTTATTTAAATTTTGTGCATCTGCTATTCTTCCACAAACATTATTTTGAAATTCTTCAATATTTGTAAACCAAATATTTTCCCATGAACTTGGTGTATAATTTAAAAAATACCATTGACAAATGCTATCGGACTTTTTCGAATTTCCAAAACAAGTCGTTCTAGAATTATTTTCAGAATTCCTTGGAATAA